TAATGAGCACATCACATCCTCTTTCCGTGTTGCTCTGCGGACGATACTTAACTAATGGACACTCAAAGGGCTTTGTTGACAGATATTCTCCCTTAGTCCTCAGTTCTAATACTCAGTAAATAATCATTACTGTCCAAAGTCTCCTGTAAATAATCATTACTGCTTATTCCCACATATTCTATCTTCAGAGCTCATGGAGAATTGGCAGGTCAGCATCCACCTAACAGAAGCCTTGATCACTGTCACCAAAGTATCTTCTGCTGCAAGACAGAATCCTTGGTTCTCAATCAGGTCTGTTCCTCTCCTAATCTAAAACAAGTGGGGATAACTACATCCGTGGCTCGGGAAGAAAGGAGTACCTGCTGGGTCACTGAAGATTGCTAGAGCCAAGGAAGTCCAAGGAAAGCCCACGCCTGCCTGGTCAAGGGAGAGGAATAAAGCACATCCACGTTAAATGGCTCGAGGAAATATGGACACAGAGGAAAACCAGGAAAGGGGTGAAGACACCAGAATGAAAAGAAAGTGAAAGTAGAGTGTTCCTAAAGCACCGATATTCCTTTAGAGGACGGATGCTCTGGTCTACCCTGATGCATTAACAAAAGTATTTACTGGGCAAATTGGCATGAGTTCCTAATAAAACACTTTTAAAAGCTGCAGGAATGGCGAGGAAGGGATGGCTCTCTCCCCGTTTCCCTCCTTCGATCGTGTGAATGTGCCTACCTGATTTGCCCTCTGCTCGAAGTAGTTCTATATTCTTTTCATGAGGTTTTTATAATAACAAGGGGACCCAGTTAGGCACCTTTTAGGTTTAAAGATGAATATTTTTAGCGTAGGCTACCTCGCCTGGTCCTTACCGATGTGCGATGGCTTTCATGAAACAGCCCTGGGAGGGCTCACGCAAGCCTCAGGCCGGGGGAGCACACGTGTGTCCGCAGCCAGCCCGCGCGCCCTGCGTTTCAGCACCGCCGCCTCTGGAGAGCGCCTGCCGGCCGGCCGGGTCAGGGCCTCCCGCCGACCTCCCGTCCATCCCCAGCCCTCGCGCTCCCCTATTCCTTGGTTCCCTCAGTCCCAGGAAAGAGCACCTCCAACTTCTAACTTCCCCCCTATTCTTTCCTGCTCCTAAAGTGACCTCCGCGTCCCTCTCTGAGCGTCTAAACGCGCACGCCCCCGAGCCTTCGGGTCCTACCCGAGCAGCTGCGAAACCGCGTGGTTTCCCCACCCGTGGCGCGAAACCTCCAACAGGCATCGACCGATCGCCGTTCCCCTGCCCCCGCTGGACCCCGAACCAGCAGCCAGGAGCCCCCACTAGCTCCCTCTCGCTCCACGCCCCAAAGCTTCTAAGAAACAAACGCTCGACGATGCGCTCCCCTCCCCCAACACGCGCACGCACTCGCACATCCATGCACACACTCACACGCCGCAAGCCTTCCCGGTGCCATCGCCGCCCCGGCAGAGCCTCAGCCGACTCGGGCCCCGATCCGTCCACACCGGCTCGCGACGGGCCTCCCGCAGCAGCCGCCCCGCCCCCTCCCCTGCCTGGGCGGCGAGTCCCGGCGGCCGAGCCTGGGCGGACCAGGGCCCCCTCCGCATTCACTCAGTATCCACCTCGCGCGGGCAATCCACGGTCCACGGTCCCCAGCCGTCGCCCCTGGGCCGCCCCGAACCATCAGCAAAACCCCGAATCGATCTCCTCGAAGCCTCAGCCCTGTCACCGGTGTGTTGGGTGTCAGCGTGTGTCCCCGAGGCACATACACCATTTAACTCCTTCGAGCTTCCGGCCCATGCTAAACAAACAGCACGTTCACCCCAGCCGCCTCCTCCCTTCTCCGCGCCCCAACCTCTGCCCCCACCCCGGTCCTCGCCGGCCAAGCAGCCGGACCACCGCACCGCCGCACTCCAGTTCTCGAACCCCGAACCCCTACGCTCCCCAAAATGACACTCACCTCCAGCCCCCTCTCCCTCCTCCACCCCCGGCCGCCGGCCGCCCCTGCGAGCCGGGTCTGGCCCGAGCGAGCGACGCCCGGGAAACGCAGCCTGCGTCCCCTCCGCCGAGTCGGGAAGAGCAGGATGAGCCGGCGCAGCCCTCCGGAGGGGCGCGCGCCTTCCCTCTCCAGCGCCGGGAAGACGCCGGTGCCGAGGACCGGCGCGGAGCGGAAGCAGCCGCCGGGGGTGGGCGGGCGGACTCACCGAACATCTGAATGTGCCCTTTGGTGATGGGGTTGAAGCTGCCGCAGGCCAGCAAGATGACGTGGGTCTTGGTGGTCTCGGTCATGGTGCCGGTGGGTCCCTAGCGCGGGCCTAGGGGTCGCCTCGCTTTTTGTGTCTCGACGTGTCTGCAGAGGGAGAAAGGAAGGCGAGGCTCCGGCTGTGGATGCCGCGGACTCCGAGGAGCCGCTCCAGACGCAACCCGCGTCACTCCCCGCCTCCCCTTAACGCTTGCGGCGCCGGCGAGATCCGAGGCTGCTTTTGTGCTGCTCTCCTCTCTTCTCGCCTCGGTCCCCGTCTCTTCTTCCTAGCTTCTTTCGCGTCTCCCGTCCTGGTGCCCCACCCCACTCTTTCTCTGGTCCCCACCCCACTTCACTCCATCGTTCTCTCTTCCTGGAAATTTATCTAAAAGGCAAGAAGTAGCACCCAAGCCCAGAACCATGAATACTTACAGCACCATGTGAGCTCTTTCTATCTTTTGCCTCCTTCTGATTTAGTTTTCCTCCCTAACATTTTTCTGTCCCCATCTACTTTCTCTAACATCTTCAACTGCAAAAATGTTTGATCTTAAGATTTTTTTTCTCTCTTCCTCAAAATTTTAAATGAGAAATGACTTTTAACTTCAGTAGAATTTGCCCTTACCTTTTCCTCTTATCTGATGATTCCAAACTATTGAGCTAAGTCCAAATCTTGACCTAGTGGCTGCCAAGAGATTGGGGG